TGGGCCGGGCCAGAGCAGGGGACGGCTGCGTGGAGTCGGGGACGGCGTCGGCCGTGGTGGGGGAGCCAGCCTTGGCCGGCTTCGGGCCCTTGCTGTCCAGGGCAGGCCCCTTGGCCGGCTCTGCCTCGGCCCTGGCCTCAGGACTGCCGGAGATGTTCTGCACCTCCGTCAGCGCTGGGTATGGGCAAGGGCGGACCTCCACCTTTGGGGAGATGATCCGGTGCTTAATGCTGTTGCATTTGTGGGGGATGTGGCCAGGACTCCCTGTGAGGAGAGGAGAGGAGAGGAGAGGAAGAGGTGGGTTAAAACCGCCATTTCCAGCCAGAGATGAAGATCCTGACTTATCTGTGGGCTAGCAGAGCAAGAGGCAGGGAGTGCCCGTTCTGACACCCCGCAGCCGGGCAATCTCCAGTCCAGAGGCTGGTTTTCCCCCCCTTGGCCATCTGACCTCCTGCCATGGTAGCCAGGCAGCCCAACACACACACACACGCGCACCCCCCCCCCCCCGCTGGCCCCAAGCAGCTGTCCCAGCCTCTCTTGGCAGAATAGCACCAAGTTCCGGCCTAGGGCCGAAGGTGGCCCAATCCAGCCCGTGGACTGCTCTGCTCCACCTGCTGGATTTCTGTCTGAGAAGAGCCCCGACTATGATTCACCAGGAAGAGTTTTCGGCCCAGGAGAGTTCACCAGAGTTCACTCCAATCAGAACTAAAACCTTTTTGTAACTGACTTTTCACATCGCGCGACTTCTTTCCTCCAAAACCTAGATATTATCGATGGAAGTATTTTCTACAAAACCAGACGCTCTGCTCTTCAAAGGGGTGGTTTTAGAGACGGACTTCTCTTTAACACACACAGGCCAAGAGTTCAGCCCATTGCATGGCGATTACGCGCCTGGGGCGACACAGAGCGGCACGTGCTGTGCAGGGCGGCCCTGAACGTCCCAGGGATCTGCTCCAGCTTTCCCAGGCTCCCCCCGCAGACATTCAGGACTGCAACTCCCGTAATTCCTCGCCAGCAGGAGACCCCCCAGGTCGGGTGGCTTATTCCAAGGACGATTCTGTGTGGAGCTTCTTTCAGGAAAGGGAGCCCTTGCAGCCCGGGCCAAGAGCCAGCCTTGCCCGCAGCCAGGACGTGGAAGGGCTGGCTGGAGCCCCCTGAACACGACCGGCTTGGCGAGCCCCTCAGATCCTCACCGTGGGAGACAAGCAGGAGGAGGATGGGGGCGGCATTCGCTTGACAGGCCGAGGACAGGCCTGCCTCGGCAGCTGCCCCCTCCAGTCCCTAAGCGTGGCCCCGAGGGCCCGTCCACGGCATTATGGACACCGCAGGAGAATCCCGTTAGTCCTTCAGGGGGACAGCCACGCTCATGGCAAGGGCAGAGAGGGAGGGAGGGAGGGAGCGTTGCCGAGACGCGCCGCGCAACTTCGGTGGAAGCAAATTCTATCAAGCCCGGGCAGGTACTGCAGCCCGCTGGCTGTCTGCGAGCTTGGCCACATCTCCCTCTGCGTGTGTGGGCAAGGCACATCCCTGGCATGGAACCGATCAGAGCACCGTCCTCCTTTTTATGCCCTTCGAGGTCACTTTCCTCCGTTTCAGAAGGAAGCAGCTATGCCCAGACTGCAGTTTGATTAAGGAAAAAGTGGCGCACCCCGTTTGGACGCCAGGCCTCAACGTACGGAGGGCTTTCTCCCAGTCCCGCAAAGCTGTTGGCTCTCCCCGAAAGCAAGAGGTTCACCTACAGCTGCAGAGAGTGCCCCAACACCCCTCCGAGGGGCCCAGAAAGGAGGGAGGGGTAGAGGGGGACTGACCAAGGCTGCTGCTGCAGAGGCACGCGTGGGTCCGGGGGGGCGGCTTGGACTGGTGGCTCTCCAAGATCTGCTGCACCAGCTGCTCGACAGAGAAGTCGGTGGCGCTGCTCCCGTTGCTGCAGGTCCACTTGATCCCATGAACTGCGGGGGAAAGACCGGCCGCACGTCCAGCCCAGGTTCCAGCCTGAGTTCCTGTTGCATCTTCTGCCCCCGATCCTCCCCGAATGCAGAAACCAGCCCACCGAGGAAGAAGGGGAAGTGGGGCTGCGTCTTCCATGGACGTTCAGGAACCGAAGCGCTTCGGACGGTTCACAGCACCGCACGGACGAGAGAAGCCGGGGGGAGCCCTCCTTGAGCGGGACGTGGCCAAACTCCTCCCGCAGCAGAAAATTGCTCCCAGCCAGTCAGGCCGCATGGCCTGCCCAGCCCAGGGCTTTGTGTCCAGCTGCTGGTCAGCCAGATCCCCCGGGAACAGAGCGAGGAGGCCACTGGTCTGGCGTTTCTCAGCAGCACCTACTGGCGGCCAGAGGCTCAGCAGGCCCAGCGGCTTTTGGCAGGGAGGCCCGGACCTTTCCCAACTGCTAGCCCAGGGTGGGTCGGTCCCCAGGAGGAGAGTAGGTCCCTTCCCTCCATGAACAGCCCCGAAGCCCTCCTCCGCGCCTGCTGTGCACAAAAGAACCCCTTGTGCGCACACACGTCCCCTGCTGCTTACACATGGGCTTCAGCTGTCCAACCAGCTCTTCCTTTGACCACTTCAGCCACTCCTTGCGGTCACTGTTGATGGAACACAGGATGGGGCTGCAGATCTTCCCGCAGTCCTCAATCGCCGGGACGTTCAGGTAGTGAACCAGGACGATGTCTGGATTCTGCAGGGGGAAACAAGGGGAGGCCGGATGGAAGAAAAGGCAGGCGGGGGCGTTCCTGGGGGGCAAAACTTTCTATTTAGAAAGAGGCGGCCTGGGGCAGCCTGTAGGCCTGCTTCGAGAGAGAGGAATACTCCCCACCTTGTTTCTTGCCTGCTTCTTGGTCAGGTGGCTGCAACCTACAGTACGTCCCATCGTTCAAACTGAAACAGGGGGATACGTTAGGCCCTGGGGACTCCCGAGCCCAAGAAGAGGTCTTTTGAAAGACAACCAGCGAGTGAGTTGTAAAGAGACATCAAGAGCCGTGGGAAACCAGGAGCCTCTCCAAACCTCTCCCTGGGCTCCACAGAGGCCGAGCAGACCCACCCAGAGAAGCAGGACGCCAGAGCCACGGCACCCCTCGGACAATGTATTTATTTATTTTGATCCCCCCACCTTTTTCTCCTGCACTGTCATTTACAGCATTAGTATTCTAAGGAAGTAACAACAAATAAATATTTCCTTAAAATCACCATTCCGGTAACGCGGGATTTCTCAACCTCAGCAATGTTAAGGTGTGTGGACTTCAACTCCCAGAATTCCCCAAACAGCATACTGTCTGGGGAATTCTGGGAGTTGAAGTCCATACACCCTAACGTTGCGGAGGTTGACCTGCGCTGTGTTAGACTTTAGGGTGAGGTACAAAACGAGGGTGTCGCTTTCAGTCATTGACTCAGAACCGAGATTATAAGATTCTTTAACTGAAACGATACGAGCCATCCCGAAATGAGGGAACAGAGAAGAGGAAGGAGGGACCGTCCTTTCCAGCTCGCCTGCTCCTGTCCCTCCTCCTGAAGCCCCTCCCGCCCAAGCGAAGACCCGCTCGGCTCAGCAACGGGGCGTCCCTCCCAGCCGCGGACACGCACCTGGAGTAACCAGTAGCACCGCCGGTGGAATGTCGGGACGATGGACGAATGGACGTAGCAGCCGTAGAGACACTGGGGGAGAGGCAGCAAAGTTCTGCGGAGCGTTTCCTCCCCACAGCGGACCCCAGCGCCCCCTCCCCAGGCCCGGATCCTCCCTCCCTCCGTTCCGCCCCTGGTCTCGGCAGCCCTCCCCGAGACTGTCCTCCTGACCTGGCCTGCACCCGCCCGCCCGTGGTCCCCTTCTGCGGCTTGTCGGGCCCGAAAGGCCCCGGCAACCCTGCCGGTTCTGCGGGCCCCCCCCTCTCCCCCTCGCGGGCTGGGGGGTGGGGGCTGCCTCCCCC